CCCCCCCTCTCCCCCCCCCCACTTAAATATGCCTTGCTTTCCCCGAGGGGAGGGGATAGTTAAACGGTACAGAAGTTTACCGTTTAATTGTTGCTGGGAAGTGAAAAACTGCACAGAGTCTTAAATACTCCACCATGGTGGGCAGATGTCCAGTCGACACATCAAGCCTTTGATCAAATATGGAGAAGATTGCAGCATGGCAGGTGCTGGCATGGAGTGCGTGTGGGGGGGGGGAGGGGTGGTTCCTTTTGAGCCACCAGGGACCAAGCAGCTCAAAGTGCTCCTAGGAAGGCGCCAAGCCGATTGCTGCTCGCCTGGCAGTGACCCCCCTGCCCTGGCCTCCTCCTGGCGCCTGGCGGTGGAACCGCGCATGCGGAACAGACGCTGCGAGCGCCTTAGGATAAGGGCTGCGATGGAACAAAGACCCACGCCGGGCCCAAAGGCATCCCCCCTTCTGGGGGGCCCTCGGGTTCCAAACACAACCATTTTGGGAGCCCAAAGTTTCCCTGGAGGCAGGGAGCCAGCCCTTCCCTTCCTTGCTCCGCAGAACAGAGTGTGGCTTCTGGAGAGAGGAGATGTGTACGTAATCCACAGGCAAGGAAGGCCGCAGCGGCCGGAATCTGTTATCACCCTCCAACCCGGTAAACCTCACAAGATCCCGCAGCTTCCTTTGGGTCTTTTCATGTTAGAAATGATGTACACATCAATGTCCCTTGATTTATGGCGCCTTGTGGGAGGAGTCCCCAGAAAACTTCAAAGTGAGAAGCACCAGAGTAGATTTAGACCGGGAAATTTCAATTTCTTCGCACCCACGAGTGTTTGGATACACACACCCAGTAAGAAACCTGAATTGTACTTTATAATGTGTGAATACGATGCAGCTTGGAGCTCTTGCGGTGAGGCCCATTTATGCGGCCACATTGTGTTTAATGTGGGGGCATCGCCCACGCCACCCCTGACATGTGTTTGGTTCACAAGCATCTCCACAGAACCACGGAGAACTTGTGACCTTGGCTCCCGGCTCTAGACGCATGAAAGAGGGAGAGCTGTCACCCCCAGTCCCCTGGAACAGCTCCTCTGCTGTTGTGGCTAAGAAGAGTCACAAGTCACACATGAGGTCCCCGTGATGGATATCCGGGGTCTTGCTTCTTAGGACAGTCCCCACTGCAGGACGGTCACAGCAGGAGGAAAGGGCGCTCTAAGGAGGAGACATCCCGTGTTATTTCCACCCGCCAAAGGGCTTTCTCAAAACACTGCCTCTCGATCACTTTCACAGGGGACGCCCTTTCCTTTCTCGTGTTGCTCTGGGAAGATGGCCTCTTTAAACTCATTTCTTTGTCTTCTTCCTCTTGGGACTGCTGACGGAAGCCCCATCCAGCCTCTACCCAGAAAACGACCTTGGTCATCTTCACATCTCATGGAAAACATGGAGCTAGCGGGTTGCTCCTTGACCTCAGAGTGGACAGAAGATTGGCCCCCAGGAGTTCCTAAGCCTTTGGAGAAAGACCAACTGCTTCCTCCATCACAAGGTGGACCCCCTTCTCCTGTTCTCCTTTAACGCAATTCCCGGAGAGGGCATCACCTGGCCACAGAGAATGTTCTTTTATATCCAAGGAGCTGTCCGAATCTCACAGGGCCCGGGGACAGTGCTTGCTAAGGCACCACAGTTAGAGCACCAGCAACCCTGGGACACCAAGTACGCCAACGTTGGGAAACAATTTAATCCTTGACATAAAATGAACAATAGAAGTCACCATCCGTGGGGACATTAGAACCTTACTCGGCTTCTTTCCACTTGTTTTAGTTTAGAAGGGCTTTTGTTTTGAATTGAACATGGGAGTAGGCACCAGAGCCTTTTGGTTGCTTAAGATCTTTTAAACACTTACTGGGGCCACAGGCAGAGACCAAGGCGACCCCTGGGTGGTTTGAGAACGTTTCAAGTTCTGCTGGCAGAAAAAACTGATGGTTTGCTCTGGGTACAGCCAGTCCAAGTGGGCAGCAGCCTCGTTTTACTGAACAGTTTCCATGGGCAAGAAAAGGCTTCCTGGGGGCTACTGTCCCCAGAGGGAAGCAGAGGAAATCTCTGCGGGCTTCTAGCCTGGGTCGGAGACTGATGCCCAGGGGATTCATAGCAGTGAACTAATGCCATGGGTGTAAAGCTAATAAAATGTTCTAAGAGAGGTCCACCCAGGAAACGGCATAAGAAATGGAGGAGTGAAATGTATGTGAGGGTGGGAAGAATGGTTTAATCAAGGCGCCTTAAGCGGCCTGGCCCCAAGTCAGAATAATTTAGAGTTTTCATTGCGAGAACAGATGGAAGACAACAGCAGCTCCTGACGCAGAAGGCTACTTCCTGGACACTCAGATGCTGCACCATATAGCATTATATCAACCTCCTTATAACTCACGATATAAATAGAAGGAAGAATGTATTCAAACTCTTCCATTTGCCAGCAACCTCAGTTGGGTCGCCAACACCGAAGAGAAAATAGTAGGAGCACTGAGACTACGAGGAAATCAAGAGCTGCTAATGTCACCCAGTTGCTACTACTTATTTAATGGAACAGTCATTATTTTCTTTCTTCAACATATGTGTCTGATAATGAAGAAAAAAAAAGGAAAAGAAAAATAACTATCAGTGTGCCACTTCAGAAAAACACAAACATTTGCTAGCTTTTTTCACTTTATTTATGTTCTTTTAATATATGTGCTTAAGGTCAAGTTAGTGCTCAGGAACCAAGAGCCCAGAGAGCAATTCTGGAGTAGGGTGTTTGTTTGTTTGTTTTTAATAAGGTTCAATTAGATTAGAGAACAGAGATGAAAATGTTGTCAAACATAAAAATAGGAATTGAATTGCTTCTTTTTAGATGGATCTTTAACATTGACTTGACCATATGGACACTGCAGAAGAAATAAAACAAATAATTATTTAATTACTTAACAATCATCTCAGAAAAGTACAATACTTCTCATGATGGAAAAAAGAGACTGCTAATCATGTTATAAAGATCATTTAATCTACCAGGTCCTGCACACTAAGAGGAGAATAATGGCAACCTTCGGTGAATAATCCTAATTAAAGTCCAGAAATCACTTCCTAAATGCATCTTTCCAACTCTAAGAATTTTACAGTCAAAGAGTCAGTCTTAGAAAATCCTCAGTTTCCCAATTTATGCAAAGCTCTCATGAGTTTCATTAGAAACAGCTAATGGCACAGGTAGGAACATACATAAAGTGAAGGCTCAATTTTTCAATGCGGGCTACATTTAAAACATACATGGAGTGTTTACACCTTAATTATAAAATGGGTCAGTTAAAGGAAGTAATACCTTCTTGCCGCAAAACATACAAAGGGGTCTGTAGACAGAGGTTGTTGGTATCTGTTTATACTCTTCACTGAATAACAACTGATCTGACTAGGATGCTTAGTTATCCTGGAGAACCCATTCCCATTTATTTTTTGCTCAAAACAGGGAAGGAGAAATGAGCTCATCTGAACCAATGAACATAAAGATATATATAGTCACTGAAATACACATTTTAGGAAATGAACAGGAGAGAGAGAGAGAGGAGAGAGGAGAGAGGAGAGAGGAGAGAGGAGAGAGGAGA